TGTGACTGAGGTCACTTTGCTTCCGAATGCAACGTGTATGAAACGATGGCTGCTTGGAAACAAAGAGAATCAAAGGATTGACCAAATGCGCGAGATGCCTCTATAGGGCAGATCAACTGAAGCTCTTTGATTCTATTGTGAGAACGCTAAGAGGGAAAGCGAGATGGAAAGCATAGTGCGTTCTGTATCTATCACTTTGAGAAATAATTCATTCAATTGCATTATTTTTTGGAGATTGTTGTCAATATGGTAACTGGGAGATTAACGGTGACCTAGGTGTTTGGAAGATTGACGGTGAATAGATCGCTTCTTAAAAAAGGTTGTCAGCCATGTATTCAGTAACTACCGTGTTTTTAATATAGTTGATAGTTCAATAAAGATTATGCTCGATTATGGGAATAGATACAAATGAGAAAAGAACTTACTCTGAATATAAGAGAAAGACAAACAGAGAAGACTTTGGGGAAATTCATTATCCTGAGTAACCATCTCGACGTCCTTTGCATACACCCACAATCACCATCAACTACACCTACTACGTGAATTTATCCGCCTATGATGGACCCTCGCCTCGGCAGTTCAATGGAGTAGTACAGTGTCATTGTAGTGGAGTTCAGTACCAATATATTCAATATTCACGTATGTGCTGGTTCTGAAGCCAGCTGTGCCTTAGAGCTCGTTTTACAGCGTCGACTGGTCTTAACCCTTTGACGACAATGCGGATTTGCACGTAGCGTGCTCGTGGGACCACGCCTCTTTTTGGCGCGCCCAACTCTCGCACAAAATGGGGCAAAATTGTCCCTAAAAGCAGTTTTTCTATCAAAATTTTGACTATGACAATAAACAAAATATGACTGCAGTCTTAAGCTTTATGATCATGTATTGTTGGAATTAGAAGTGGAAGTTTGGAAAGAAATCTCGGATTTCAAAGGGATGGTGTTTGAAAACTCTAGAAGTTCAAATGTACAGTAGAATTTTTGATATAGTTCAAACTCCTTGTGTCTTAAGACTGTGAAAAGACGTAGAGGTCCTGATCTGTAATTCACCTTAAGCTTAATAATGTAAAACACTAGTTAATACATCGCCGAGCGAAGTGCCATATCCTAAAATTTCATATAAATTAGCTAGTAACAAACATTTCTGCAAAATATGCTAAGCATAGGCGTAGCGGAGCTTGCTTGTAACTAACCAGTCTAGCTCCGCACGCAACCGCGCGCATCAAATGGTGGGCTTTAGTGAAACTGGACAACTTGCAGAATATTAGGTCACGTGACTGAGAAACTAACAGTAATCATGAATTTAGCATTAATATGGGCGATTTGGCGGTTTATAGAATTTCCACAATTGAAGAATCGGTGTGTAAGTGAAATATAACCAATCAATCAGCATCAACCGAGCTATGATGAAATTGGAAATATGATTTTATTCGCTATTAGTCCAAGTCCAGATAGTGGAGCAGCTCAACTTTCTTTGCTTCTTTAGATGAAAGGGTAGGAATGGAACATATTCACGTGCTAGGGACCTGGTTTAGTTCAACTGAGTGCACGCTCAATTGTCGCTACTTTTATCAGTACAGTTGCCGCTCATACCACTTTCTGTCACCTACATTCAACCCTCGCCACCTTGATCGCTTGCCAGTGATAATTGCAACGAAGTTGGAGAGAACTGCATTCGGACGCTCTTATCATTCTTTATTTATTTATTTATTCATGCGTGCAGTTGACGCGCCTATAAAGAAACAAACAATAGAAAACATTGTGGTTAGTCAATGAGGACGGTAGCCCTATTATCTTCACGAAACTATTAAAAACTACGATATAAAAGGACTACTGCAACCTATTCCCTTTCCTGCATTCAAAGAGATAGCAGCACGAGGGAAAATTAGCACTGCTGACCCTCTAGCGAGGAACTAAGGAAGACCTCTCAAACTTGGGTGACTTTGAGTGTAATCCAGGTACCTTACCTGCACCAGTCGGCAATGGTGCCCATAGCACTACTATAGGTGCAATGGGAAGCCTGCCTGAACTTCGGGACACGAGTATACCGACACCCTCGTGGAACAGGCAGGTCAGGTAAGGACCAGATGCCACTCGTGGATTTCAGCAGAGAGACGATTTCTTGTTATTCGTTATCATTTCATACTACTCGCAATCGGTGTCCCGTCCCATCTTCCAGGAACGTGTAGGAGCTAATATTTACTGTCACCACGAAGGCTGCAACGAAATTAGCGGTACTCAAATCCTAACTTCCTTATCAACCGTTATCGCTTGTTATCACTTTTGATCATCCACTATCCGTGTTCCCGTCCCATCCCCTATACCACATGTGAGAGCCAAGGTTCCAATGTAACCGCGAAGGGCCGCAACGAAACTGGTGGTATCCACACTTTGACGCCCCTTATCAGTTCTTATCAGTTGCTACCACATTCGTTCACTCAACTTCTTGGTCCCCGCCTCACCCCACATATCATACATGAGTGCAAACTCTCCACCGTCAACGCGAAATTGGTGACATCAACATTTCGACGTCCGTTATCAGCTCCTATCAGTAGTTATCACTTCCCGCCACCCATCATCAGTGTTCACCCCGGCCCCCTATATATCCTAGAAGTTTGAGCGCTCTGGGTCCAAAGGGAGGGAAGTTATGAATTTCCGGTCAGACACACACACAACCGCTTAGCCGATTATATATAGTAGGATGATAGGTTGGAAATATTTTGGATGGATAAAGGGGGAAATTTTAGGGTGGCACCCACCGGTGGGTGCCACCCTAAAATTAATAAATTTGGCCATTGTCGCCAAAGGGTTAACCTCTGATCGATAAGATCGGAGAAGCCATGGGAAGAATTCGCCTTCCCTCGACGGACCCACCCAACCGGAGATCTGACGGGAAAGATATAACGAAACGAAAGGCATAGGGAAGGGTGAGGAATGATGTAACCTCCCCTTCAAAAAGCGAGAAAGTGTCGGGTGCAGACCAAACACCACAACTGACGACGGCCTCCAAGTAAATCTGGTTAGAAGTTGTTCATAGTGATAGCTGATTTCTGGTAAATGATAGTTGTAATTAGTGACAATCGATAGAATACAACTGCAACAGGCCAATCGTTTCATTGGCTGAAAACATTAATATTTTTTTGCCCATCCAGCAGTCCCTTATGTCCCGCCAGTGCAAGGTCCTGTGCAGAGAATAACCGTGGAGGAAACGGAAAGGGCTCTGAAGAAGATGAAGTCAGGAAAAGCTACAGGTCCCGATGATTTGGCGGCCGACATATGGAAGTCAAAATGCTGGTGTCCTGCTGAATGGTTGACCAAGTTCTTCAACCAGATCGTTGCAGAGAAGAAGGTGCCTGAGAGTTGGCAACAGAGCACGACGATTCCGATCTGGAAGAAGAAAGGCAGCCCTGCTGACTGCACGAGCTACCGTCCAATTCGCCTGCTCTCGCACAGCATGAAGATCTTTGAGCGAATTGTAGACGGCCGTATTCGTGACATCGTGCAGCTTTCCATCAACCAGTGTGGATTTGTGTCAGGCTGCGGCACCATCGATGCAATACATGCCGCTCGCCTTCTGCTGGAAAGACATCGCGAGAAAAAAAAGCCGTGCATCTTGCCTTCCTGGACCTTGGAGAAGGCTTTTGATCGCGTTCCTCGTGAAGTTATATGGTATGCCTTACGACAGCATGGCGTTCCTGAAGAGCTCATTGAGTGGGTGCGCATCTTTACTCGAGTCCAAAGAGCCGAGTGCAAACGGCAGCAGGACTTCGATGGAATTCCCCATCTCTGTCGGGTACACCAAGGCTCTGCGCTTTCCCCACTCCTATTCATTGTCGTCATGGATGCCATTTCGCGTCTTCAGAAGCCGGCTCCATGGACGCTTCTTTATGCTGATGACGTGATGCTCGCCTGTGAAGACAAACATCTGCTCGAGCAACAGGTGCAAACCTGGTCCGACCGTCTGGCTATGTTTGGGCTCAGGTTGAATGTGAAGAAGACAGAGTACTTGACCACCGATTTGAGTGAGTCAGGCTCTATTAAGATCAGTGGCACTGAGCTCACACGTACAACATCATTCAAGTATCTTGGGTCGGCAATCGCGTCCGACGGCAGCCTGATCTCTGAAGTAAACTCCCGGGTGAGTGCAGCTTGGTCCAAGTGGCGCTCGATGACCGGCGTTCTCTGCGATAAGAAAATACCAGAGCGACTGAAATCTAAGATCTACAGAACCGTCGTCCGACCAGTCGCCATTTACGGAGCAGAGTGCTGGCCCGTGACTAAAGAGGTTGAGGCTCGTCTCAGTGTAATGGAGACAAAAATGCTGCGCTGGACTGCCGGGGTTACCCGTTTGGACCACATTCGCAACGATACCATCAGAAAGCGGTTCGGTGTGGCTCCCATCGCTGATAAGATGCGCGAAGCTCGCCTGAGGTGGTACGGTCACGTCCTTCGCGCTAATGATGAGAGTGTCCGTAAGATCGGTCTAGACTTTAACGTGCCAGGAAAGCGGCCAAGAGGACGCCCGAAGCAACGATGGCTTGATACGTTGCATGAGGATTTGAAATTAGTTGGCCTTCACCCCGATCAGGCACATAATCGGGAAAAGTGGCGTCGTAATACCAGGAAAGCGGACCCCGCCACAGGGTGGGACAAACGCTAAAGAATAAGACGGGACCCAGCGGCCGCAAGGTATGCTTTCCCGAGAGGGAGCCCATCCTGGTAAAGGTACGTATTCTTTGAAAACTGTTGGGATATCTTCCTGAAACGAATGGGGGAGATATCCCTGGATAGGGGACGGTCAATAGGTGTTGTCGTCAAGTGTGACATATTGTGTGTACAGTGCGGTGAGCACACATCTCAACGACGTCTAGTTTAGAGTACGAAGTTTGAGGAGTCGCACTCGTGTGATGACGGCTTCACCTTTCTGCAGGTTTACTAACGTCTTATCAGCAAATTTTTTTTACTCCTTGGGGGTTTCGGGTGCTGTGAAAGCTCGATTTACAGATGAGTAGCAAGAAGAAGGTGCAGAAGAAAAAAGGCAAAACTAAAGATGTGTCTGATGATTTTGACGATCTCGTAGAGAATGCCAACGATGATGGATGCGGCCTGTCCCGAAAGTATGCTACTGATATCATAAGGTGCGTAATGTCGTCATAACCCCTGGTTCCTCGTTGTATAGCTGAATCTATCCTTTGCAGATTGATCAAGTGTCATTCGAAGCCGTTGAATAAAGTAGCAGCGGAATTTATCGAGGTTAATATCTATATTAGTTTGTGTAGTGTTATAAACGCTTGAGATCATTAAGTAGATCTTCAAAGAGCGATGTTCGTTAGTTGTTGGTATGGCTTTGTTGGCTATTTACGATGATTTGGCGCCCACAGATGATATTGCTAGCAAGATCGTCACCGTTTATTTAATCTACCGGTAAGAATTTTATCCAAAACTATTTGTTAGCCACTTCTTGATGGGTTTTAAGCGGTTTTTACCAACCATTTTCAGAGTTCGCGATATTGAAGTAGCCCTTCGTCGCAGAAGCCCTGGTGGTATTGACGATATATTGGGTCATCCATTCATGTCGTTCTTCCTCAATCTGGTTCGTACATATTTGCCTAACTACTGAGGACATCCTTGATATCTCAAACTTAATTCTAGGTTGAATCGAAGGTCGTTGAGGATATCTGTGTTACCTATCCACTTCCGATTGGTATCGAACGCTCGATTGTATTAAGGATCCTGAATGGGAAAACATCTGAATTCGCAAACATGAGCGCCATTGATCTGCTTGCTGGTGGAGCTTTAAATGATGTGTGTTCTTCATTATTATCTTTTCATAAGACACTCATCGTTTTCTCTGCGGTGATTCGTGTTGCGTCCCACTCTTTCTTTTATTGCACGCAAGGAAGGAAAATGTTGATTCAGGCCACGAGGTTTCTTGTTGGTCGATTTTTTTGATGCATCGGCCCAAATAACTTTTGAAGAGCTTTACGGAGCCGTGGAGCTAATTGTTCGAAAAAGTTTATATTTCTCAGTTTGCTTGAATTGTTTAACTGGGTATCCGAAAAGCTAATGTCTATCAGTATTGAGAAGCATTTTTTCAATTTTTCACGCGTTCCGCACATTCCGCGGCGGTGAAGATGAAAACAACTTTAGAGATTAGCGTTTTCTGAATTGGGATGTTTTAGGCCAATCTCGGATTTTTTGAAGCAGAGCAGTTCTATGTGAAACAAACAGCACGTTGGCCTGAACACCTTGACATGGTTACGATTCCTTCGATACTACCGTATCCCGATCCTGATGACAACAGCTTACATGAGTATGTTGCCCTCCATCTATGGTATTTGAGTGTTGCTACTTCTTATTTGTTAGTTACAGCTTGACCCAAGATGCTCTTCTTGTGTCGCTAATGGAACGGATATCATGCGAACCTTTGAAGCAACTTCCTTTTAAAACTACTCCACTAATGCCTCCACTTTATCCCATTCAGCCAATCGAGGTTAGTCTTAAAACTCATCCAAAACGTTTGAGGAAGCCTTTCACATCAGCTCATTGCAAAGCAGTTTTTACACCATGCACAATTGTTAGCCGCACTCGTCGTCCCCACTAAGATTTGTGCCGTATGTATTTGTGTACAGAAACGACGATAAATTGGGTTTTTAATCTGCTAGACGGTTCCTTGAACAGAGTTA